ATGATGACGATATTTTGCAATAGCAGATTTGAAAGAAGAAGAAAGAAGATGAAGAAAAGGACTAGAAGAAGGAGAAAGAGAAGGAAGAAGAACAGAACAAAAACAGTAGTAATAATCTAGTAATAATTTGTTGTGGTAGTTTTTCCTTTTGCTGTTTTTAGTCTTATTTCTACTGTTGAGGTGTTTTAGTAAAAACAACAGCCATCAAGTAGTGAATCTCTATTATCTATCTATCAAACACCACGGTAGGCTCTTTAGCTGCACTTTCCCATTTAATATGCACAATGCTCACATGAAATAGTATTATCATCTTTGCTTTACAGATGGAAAACTGAGGTGCCAAGAGATTAATTTAACCGATCAATGGTAAAACAACTCATAAGTATGACTCAGTATATAATCCCAAGTCTGTTTGAATCCATTGCCCTGTGATCTTTCTACCATGATATGTTGCCTCTGTTTACTGTCAAGTCTGGCCATAGCCAGGATAAAGTTTTATTGAGACTGAAATCTCCAGGACGGAGACTAAAGCAGCAGCAAACTCTTGGAATTTTTAAAGTCCAATTCAGACATGTCATATATAAAAGTGTGTGTGTGTGTGTGTGTGTGTGTGCACGTGTGTGTGTGTTTAAGCTACATTACTGTTTATAATAATGTGAGAAATATTTCATTGTTATAAAAAAAAAACTTAAAAAAAAATTTCACATTATATACCTCAGAGGAAATTCTGTTGGCACACCCAGACAAAACAGGATTGATGAAATAAGAAAGAGTCAAAATGATAAATAGGTATGTTTTGTTGTCTCAGGTTGTTCCTGGAATGCAGTTAATTCCTTTATGACTAGAGGCCTGAAACATTGCATTATATTCAAAGTAAGAGAGAAAAAAGAAACAATTTATTCTTAATGTATGAACTTCTGAGTTCATTAAACATTTCAAAACAAGAAATTAAAGAAAAAGCATCTCACTGACTGCTGATAGGACAGAAAAAATACTATAAATTGTCTGGCAGCAATTTAGAAATATGAATGAAGAGTTTTAAAAATATTAATATACTTTGCCCATCAATTTCCCTCAAGGAGTTTATCCTAAGGAAGCAAAGTGAAATCTGGGTAACACTTCATGCATAAAGATGTTTACTACAGTGTTATTTATAACAACCAATAATGGAAAATAATCTTTATGCCCAAGATTTAAAGAAATGGTCCAATAGTACATAGCTATTGTACAGCCATGTTTATGAGGTTTTTAATGACAGAAAATTGCTTGTGATACCATTTAGCTTCCTTATAAGTAAGATATAAAAATGTATATATGGTACAAATTTAATTATTCTCCAAAAATAAAATAGAAAATAAATAAGCCTAGAAGTAAATATGCAAAAAGTTAATAGTATTTGCTTCTAGGTAGTAAGATTATGGGTGTGTGTTTCGGGGGGTGGGGGGGCATGTGCTTTTTCTCTGCTTCTAATAATTATCTATATTTTCCAAATTTTCTACAGTGAGCATTGGATACTTTTATAATCAGAAAGGGGAAAAAATTAACTCAAAGAGATAAAAAGATTATAAAGGAAAGAAAACAGTTCCAACAGTCCAGGCACATTATTTTATTTCTTCTTATTGGCTGAAGTTTTATCATATTTAAATAGAAAGATTTGCTTTCACATCACACGAGTGTTCTGCTGCATCAATAATAATTTCCACATAAGAATATTTAATATAGGTTTTTCAGAGAGAAAATTACTTTTCAATAAAGATACCGGGATGTTTAGTTATCATAGATTCTTGCAAATGTACTATTTAACAACTACTTCAGGGGGTTAATATATCGGTCCTGGAATACAGCACCATATGTTCCAAGCTTTTATCACTTTCTAAAAACATAAGGAAGATAACCCAAAAGCTAGACCTGTTTATACAGTATATTTGATGCTTTGATTTTTAGTGGAGTCAGCCTTTGATGACTAATATTTCTTTTGCCCGCTAGTACCAAACCCTAAATAAGGCTCCTGACTAGATTACATTCATGAAGGTCTCATTTTAAAGGAAATTGGAGAGATGGAAAAAGATTACAGGAAGAGACATCATAAAAACAGGCCTCACAAGTCAAACTTAATAGTAAAACCATTCTTTTTCATATAGACAACCATGAAAACAAATATCCTGTGAGCTAGAGATATGTATTATATCTTTCCAGCAGATCTTTATGCCTTCTTGAGACAGATTTCCATAACTATATAATGTGATTACAGTTGAAGAAGCAATGGCCCACAGAAAGAGGCTGATAAAGCATCAGGCTCCAGGAAACCAGATAAACATGTTCATGATTTCTAATTGTAACAAGGGTAGGATAACACTGGATATGAAGCTAGAACTCAGACAGACCGAGCAAATATTGGTTCCTTCAACTTTAAAAATAGGTATCCATAAAACAGCACCAACTCTCTTATTAGAATAATAACTTGGAACATATTCATGTTACTTCCTTGATTGATAGAGAAGATTCAAAAGAGACTGTATGACTTTAACATGTAGTATGAAAATTATAACACCCTGGAAGAGACATTTTAAGCAACAAAATGAATATACCTGCAAGCAAACTAGAAGAGAAAAGAAGAAGAAACTTTGAAATGTATGACCAACTTGTCCAAAAGACTATCCCAGGTCATATATAACTTAAGAAACACATTTTCCTAACCCTCGAGTCATCCCACTGCTCTGCAACTCCCGCACCTGACCAGAGGAGTTATATAAGGATAGTCTTTATGAGAGACTAACATGAAAGAAAAACTAGACTAGGAATTCAACATAGCCCAAAGTTTAAAAAAAAAACCACTATAATGTCAGAGTTTCTGTTAGGTCTCTACTTATCAAAGGATATAAGAACAGACTCTGTTCCTTGAAAAGTAATCGGTCTCATTTCTTAGGAGTTAGTGGATTCCTGGTTACAGTAGGCAAGTTGAAAGGTATGCATGTGTTGTGCATAAACAGGAAAAGAGTAATCCCCTTTATGAATTTAGAAATCCTGGCAGATTATACTGCTTTAAAGAAAATGTTTCCTTTCCTTAATATGAATTGACTATACTGCCTCAGAATTACTGTTTGTTTTTCAGTGGTGTGTGTATGTGACAATTGTAAGTTACTGACATGAGACAGGCACACCAACAGAAGAATGAGGGGTTGTATGCTTACCTCATGGTAGCAGAGAGGTCTTCACAGGGAACCCAAACTTGGAGTGCCAAGATTCAGTTTTGTACATGTGGCTAAAGCCTCCTGTTGTGAGTTATACTCTCAAGAGTCAGTAACATAGACTTTGGAAAAAGCACTTTGAGGATCATTGATTGTCTTGCTGGAATAAGAGGGACAATCCTAGGGACAGGTGAAGCCCTGTAGGCAAAGTATAGGTTTCCCAAAGGTGGTTTCAGGGAAGGAATATTATTCTTACTATGAAAAACTGAAAAAGGAATTCCCTCATGGAAGAGTAAGCCAAACTAAGAAGCAAAGCAAGGAACTAAAGTTTGTCCTAGAGCAACAGTCTGTGTGAAGTTTAACTTTTTTCCCACTGTCCTAAATTGCTATATCATATATAGCTAACCATGTTCAAAGCTCTCCCATATATCTAATTCCTTCTAGTTAGCCCTAAACGTCAGTAAACATTACATATACCCAGTCCTGTGTCAGTGGTGTAGAAAATTAAAAGAATTGGTAGTAAAGTGAAGTGGCTGTCCCTGAACCCCTCTTCTGCTGAAGCCAGCATGCCAGGAACAGCATTGTGTCAAGGACAAATGAGGGTCCCTAAATTCCAGACACTGACCACTGCCTACCTAACACATGACTCAAGTTGCAGTTGAAAGAAACAGAGAGAAGCAAGCAACCAGGTGAAAGAGCAAGCAGAATAGATTGACTTGGGAAGGGAAATTAAACAAACTCCTCACTTTCTCCCAAATATGCTAGAAAAAAATGACCCTGAAGGAAGAAGGCAGATGTTAGATTATAGGGCTATGCTTCATCTGCTTAAAAGAATCCTATCGGGCTTCCCTGGTGGCGCAGTGTTTGGGAGGCCGCCTGCCGATGCAAGGGACGCGGGTTCGTGCCCCAGTACGGGAGGATCCCACATGCCGCGGAACGGCTGGGCCCATGGGCCATGGCCGCTGAGCCTGCGCGTCCGCAGCCTGTGCTCCGCAGCGGAAGAGGCCACAGCAGTGAGAGGCCCGCTTACCGCAAAAAAAAAAAAAAAAAAAAGAATCCTATCACTATGTGTACAAAATTTGTGCAAAGTCTTCCGGAAGCAGCTGTCTGATAATGATAACTGATTTCTTAGGGTTAGATTTTTATTAATGTTTTTCAAAGCATATGTCATTAGTTCTCTCTTTTCATCAATACTTTTATTCAAAACAGATTTGAACAGGATTATAAAAACATACACTGTTATGTTAGAAAATGTAGATGAAGTAATCGTGGTTAAAGATAGATTAATACTATCAGAATAACAGAAAAGTTAGTATACAAAAACAAAAGCAAAAAAGCTTTCCAGAGTCATTATATTGGGCTATAAAATTGGCTCAGAGTTTTCCAGCAGCCAAAGCAAAGGGAAAAAGTAGGATGAGTTACAAGAATCATATTGTTTTTAAGATAGAAACACCTTGTTATATAGGAGAAGAAAAGCTTTTTCTGAAACTGAGTCCTGTGAAAAAAATAACATACAGAACAGCACTCCATAATAAACATAATAGCAAGTCACTTGCAATGGTTCCTTATAGTGTCCCCCAAGGAAGCCTAGCACATAACACTAATGCTTCCATCGGTAAAGAACACTGAGTTCTCAGATAATCTATTTGTTTTTTTCATAACCACCGTATAGCAAAAGTTAGCATATTATACCTGTTACTGTCTATCTCTTAAAATAAAATGATATCACTACAGCACATATACAAGAATATATTCCTAATATGGTCATTATTTTGATATTACTAAAATAACACAAAAGCATAATCTTCCTACCAAAACCACAATGAAGGTATCCACTATTTCTCTCACCTGTGATTCTTTCACGTTCTCAACAGTAAAGTTGAACCAGACTCGGAAGCGTGGATTACAGGTATCCGGCCTAATGAATAAATCATACTCAAACTCAGACACCTGGTCCACCCGTCCAAGGTTACCTGTTAATAAAAATTAAGAGAGCTGGGTTTTAATAGAAGTTCATGAAGCTCAATGATATATACATTTAAATATTATGAGCTCTGACAATGACATTTGTCATCATTCAGTACTTATAGGTTCATTTTTCACAATCTGCAGGGCTGCCAACTCTGAATATAGTCCAGAAAGAGGAGGTTTTCAGCTAGTCTAGGCTGTGGTATAAGCAACTCTTCCTATCTTTATGACCTAGCAGATCTATTTGTGCTACAAGTATCTTTGACAGATCGGGATGCTGTATAGAGCATGTGGCAAGCCCCCGTAAACCAAGTAAGAATCACAACCAAACTTCAGTTTCCTAGTTAGAAAAACAAAGATGATAATACCTCATGTATTTTGTATTAAGCATTATGGTATACAAATTACCTCTAATATATTTGATCTTGTTTAATTCTCACAACACGGCTACGCAGTTTGTACTGTGTTTGGTGTATTTCCAAACTTCTATCAGAACATGTTAAAGAATATATAAAGCAGAGTAAGTTTTAAACAAAAATTAGGAGTAGTTGCTACATAGCAGTAATAATGGTAAAGTCGCAAACAACCATGAAATTAATTTCCATTTCCTCCACCAACAGAACAGGCATATCAAAAATGTATTAACTTAGATGTGAGTCCCATTCTTTGTCTCTCCTCTCTCTGTCTGATATTCTAATGAGTGGTAAATTGCCCAAAATGTTAACAGTGGGATGCTATAAAAACAAAAGCTAAGAGTCTTGTGAATTCCCAAACCAGATAATCAACAACTAAAGAAGAGTAAACACAACTATAGAAAACAACAAAGCAATTGATTGAGAAGTCAGTATAGTATTGCACTTGAAGAGCAGAGCAACATCCTACTTTTAACAGTAAGGTCCTTCTGTATAGCACAGGGAACTATATTCAATATCCTGGGATAAACCATAATGGAAAAGAATATAAAAAAGAATGTATATATGTGTATAACTGAGTCACTCTGCTGTACAGCAGAAATTAACACAACACTGTAAATCAACTATACTTCAATTAAAAAAAAAAATTTTAAATAATTCCATAAGTCATCCCCCCAAAATAAGCTCTAGCCTATCTTTCTCCAAAAGAACACTCAGAATTAAACTTTAACCTTATATCCACCAAAGTTTTTAATTATTTCTTTTACTAGTTCTACTGGCATGTCACTTGTTTTTCTGAGCAACAGTTGTAGTAGATGCAGTACTAGCCTGGGAATCATCAGACCTGAATTCGAGCTCAATTGACTCACTGTGCAACAATGGCCTCATTATTGTAATATTCTGCAATACTCTGCAATATTCTCATTTTGCAGATGAGGACTCTCAGGGCCTCATCTGCAAAATGAGAATATTGAGTTACCTAACTTCTAAGGTTCCTTTCAGCTGTAACATTCTTTGGCTGCCTGACTCTAGGATTGATCAGGCAGCGATCCAAGACAATAAGAGAACCCTTCCTTCAAAACCAAATCAATTAACCTTAGGGTGATTTTTGTCTGCTCTCATTAAAATGTGGGTGGAGAAACAAAACTTATTCCTCCTTCCAGAACCAAAACGATCAGTTACCTCAAGTTAAGTACATAAATATTTTTAAAAATGCATTGATGGGAAAATACAAATAAGAGCTAATCAGGGCGAAAAACTTTTAATTTTTCTAGTTTCAATTGTCTTCAGAATTTCCAAGGAGATTCTTCAATGAAATAGTCCTTTCAAATATTATCCTCCAAAAATATTTACTAAGCTTCTGTTGTAAAGGGCAAAACACTTACTACATGAGAGCACTAAACTTGAAATCAGAAGATCTAGACTCAAGTTTTATCTCTGTCACTTATTGAGTGACCTTGGAAAATTCACTTAACCTCTATCAACCTCTGCTTTTTCAACTATAAAGTAAGAATCGTATAAATAGAAATATGAATATTTATCTCTAGGTTAATTAATATGAACATTAATTTTAACTAGTATATAACTGATATTAACATGAATTTTCAATAGAAAATTAACATTTTCTGAGCATTTCTACATGCCACATACTGTCCCAAATGCTAGGTATACTAACCTATTTAATTCTCACAACAACACCCACGTGGTAGAAACCATTACTATCCTCATTTTACATATGAAAAAAACAAGGGACGAAGATATAAAATAACTTATCCAAAGCTATACAGCATGTAAGCAAGTATGAGTCAGCTGGAATTTGAATTCAAACACTATGTCACTAGACAACAGCTTCTACTAAAAGAGCTGGTTGGAAGAATATAAAGATAATACACACTGAAGGTACAATATAAGTTATAATCCTTAATAAAAACTTACTATCCTTAAAACAACAAAAAGTGAAAAAAGCCACTATTTTCTTGACTTCTAAAATTTCATGGTTTTAAAATTAAACATTAATGTACATTTCAACATTCAAAGGAAAGAAGATTTTTATTTTGTTTTTAATTCTGGACCACTATAAATGGATTCTGACTAATAATAACATGTCTTAAAAATGTTGCTATATATTGTGTCTAATAATAATGCACCATCTGTGTCTTAAAACTTACAGTTTCAAAATTATTTCAGATCTTATATATTACTAAAGCCTCACCATGACCCCATAATGAGTAAACTGAGACTCAGGAATGTTTAGTGCTTGCTTAAGTTCATGCTTTAAAGCACCACGGCGAGACCTTGAAACAAAGACTTCTTTTTTTTTTTTTTTTTTGCGGTACGCAGGCCTCTCACTGTTGTGGCCTCTCCCGTTGCGGAGCGCAGGCTCTGGACGCGCAGGCTCAGCGGCCATGGCTCACGGGCGCAGCCGCTCCGCGGCATGTGGGATCCTCCCAGACCGGGTCACGAACCCGTGTCCCCTGCATCAGCAGGTGGACTCTCAACCACTGCGCCACCAGGGAAGCCCGAAACAAAGACTTCTGACTCCATTGTGTTACACTTTGGAATATACCATACCTACAGCCAGTTCATTTCTTCAGCCATTCAATCAGTTATTCATTCAAAAAGTACTATACTATGTACTATACAATAGAACAGATAGTAAGTCAAACAAAAAGGTCTTTGCTTTCACTAAGTTTACAGTTCCAAATAATAATAAGCATCTGGTCTTTGGTCTTCTGTAACTATTCTGTTGGCCTTCTTCACCATTCCTATGAGGAGTATTCTCTCTGTGTGTATGCATAAAAATGCTTTCCTTGTATTACCAATAATATTTCAACAAAGTGCCAATTTATGATGTTCTGGAAACAGCTATTGAAATAAGCTGACCATGCCTCTATATCATCTGGTTCCCTTCCACTTACATGAAAGGAAAGAAAAAAAAGCAAATAAGAATTTAAAATATAGGACAAATACAAAAAAAAATTATATGTAGATTTTAAACAAAATATATCAATAAATGTATTAAATATAAATGGACTAAATATTACAAACAGAGATAAAAATACTCTGGATAAAAAAACAACTATATATATTGCTTATAAAGACAAACTTTACATTTAAGAGCACAGAAAGACTGAAAATAAATGGTCCTTTCAACTATCATCAGCCAAAAATATTTACTGAGCCCTATGTTGTAGAGGGTACAATACTTATTAATTTAATGAAAAAGTTTTAACAGGAAAGCACTATCAAAAAAAAAGCTAATGTAGCTATATTTATCTTAGACAAGGTAAGCTTTAAATCAAGAAATGTTACTAGAAATGAACAGAGATATTTCATGATGCAAAAAAGGTAAGTCCATCAAGACACAAAAATCTTGAAAGTATATACAACTAACAATAGATCTTCAAAATATATAAGTAAAATTTGACAAAATAAAAGAAGATAGAGACAAATTTAGAAATATAGTGAGAAATTTTAACATTCCAATACCAAAAACTGAGAAAAACCAAGATAATATTCAGAAAGGATTTAGACAATTTGAAAATGTGATTTAAAAGGATATCTAGTTCTAATTACAGAACACTTTTCATTTGTAGAACTACAGAATATATATCCTTTTCAAAAGAACATGGTACATTCACAAAATTGATCATATGTTGATCTATGAAGGAAGTCTCAACAAATTTCAAAGGAATTTATACTATATTGCATATGTTCTCTTATCCCAGTGATAGTATTTTAAACTAAATCATAATCAATATATGTCAATCAAAATTTGTGGGATATAGCTAAATCAATTCTAAGATGGAAATATATATGTACACATACACATAGATGGATTTTCATTGATTTACACATAATATAAAATGTACTCTGAAAATCAATTATCTAAGCTCCTATTATAAGAAGCTAAAAAGTGGGAATATATATTGAAACAACCACTATGGAGAACAGTTTGGATGTTCCTTAAAAAACTAAAAATAGAACTACCATATAACGCAGCAATCCCACTCCTGGGCATATACCCAGAGAAAAACATAATTCAAGAAGACGCATGCACCCCACCGTTCATTGTAGCACTATTTATAATAGTCAGGACATGGAAGCAACCTAAATGTCCATCAACAGAGGAATGGATACAGAAGATGTGGTACATATATACAATGGAATATTACTCAGCCATAAAAGGAACAAAACTGGTAATATGCAAAGATGTGGATGGACCTAGAGACTGCCATACAGAGTGAAGTAAGTCAGAAAGATATAAACAAATATCGTACATTAACGCATATATGTGGAATCTAGAAAAATGGTATAGATGATCTTATATGCAAAGCAGAAATAGAGACAGAGACGTAGTGATCAAACATATGGATACCAAAGGGGAAAGGCTGGGGGATGGGATGAATTGGGAGATTGGGATTGACATATATACACTACTGATACTATGTATAAAATAGATAACTAATGAGAACCTACTGTATAGCACAGGAAACTCTACTCAGTGCTCTGTGGTGACCTAAATGGGAAGGAAATCTAAAAAAGAGGGGATATATGTATACGTATACCTGATTCACTTTGATGTACAGTAG